CCAAAGGTTCAGGTGATGTTCTATTTCCCAATCTGGGTGGTGCATAGGTGGGTGTCCACTCTATTCTTCTTCTTTAAAAGTACACATTTCACATACTCTTCTGTATATCACTCTCATTTACTTATTGTGAAATAGAACGTGCGTGCAGAAAAGAGCATAGCATATACGTAAGATATACTTCATTATTAAAATGTACAAAGAGTCCTATTAGGTCTTCCTTTTAAAAGAGTAATTCAGTTCTCATGACATTATCGATGACATTTGTGCCTTGACTTTCAACTGGAGTTTCAACTGACTAAGCTCCTGAAAGGCAGTATTCAAAAGGACATAGAATTCATCTCCACTTCAGTATCATTCATGGTGCAAAGCAAAGAACTACTCAATCTATACATACATAAATACAGTGAGAGTGAATGCTTTCATTTTATGTTCCCCGTGACATACTCTATAAAGGCTATCTTGGAGCCAGACATACCTGCAAGTCAGGAACTTAGGAATTTGGGATCAGTTGACAGCTTCGGTCCCAACTCAGAGGTCTATTCTGAATGCAAAGCATCTGAAAAGAGCTCACATGAGACAGTGATCACAAAAGGATCATTTTTAAAGCATTTTTCATATATAAATGGGCTTAATAGAGCATAGAAATGTAGAGAAATGAGCTGGAATATAATATCAAATATAGAAACTACTGAGTAATTGCAATTCAATTGCTATACGGTATCAGTCATTTAAAAAATTATTTGACAAAAAGTAGCATTTGAGAAACAGATATTCAAACGAGAACAAGTTGTCAGATACCAGATTTCAATATTATATTCTTGTATAGTTTCTAGTATTTAGGTCAATCTTGTTTTTATTTTTTAAAGTCTTAGCAGAATCTTTGGGGGAAGATATTTTACTTACATTTTTTTTTAATACTTATTTTATTTTATTTTTTGGCACAGGGTCTTGCTATATTGCCCAGGCTGGTCTTGAACTCCCAGCCTCAAACAATCCTCCTGCCTCGGCCTCCCAAAGTGTTGGGGTTACAGGCATCAGCCACCATGGCCAGCCAAGGCTTTCTACTTTTCAGCCATCCTCAAGTAAAGGCCTTTCTCCACAACACTAAACCTGACCGCTTGCTGTCACAGCTTTTCTTTCACCAAGGTTGGTGTCAGAAGGTTCTGGGAGAAGAAGAGGAGCTGCTACTATGCTGGCAACTACCATGCCTAAGGAGGACAGTGGCCCCATCACAGTCTTGTGGAAAAAGAGGGTGCTGTGGGCTTCAGGGTCTCAGAGAAGTTGAGCAGTGGCACCAACTTGCTGCCTAATCCACCTGCAGTGTGGACATAGGCAGACCCTCTCCTCTGAGGACTCGGGGAGTGTCCAGCAAAACCAACCTCACGAGGTTGACTCTTTCCTCATTCTAAAGATTTTTAAAGCCACTTTGTTTGCTCACTTCTTTTTTTTGAGATGGAATTTCGCTCTTGTTGCGCAGGCTGGAGTGCAATGGCGCCATCTCGGCTCACTGCAATCTCCGCCTCCTGGCTTCAAGTGATTCTCCTGCCTCAGCATCCTGAGTAGCTGAGATTACAGGCGTGCGCCACCATACCCTGCTAATTTTGTATTTTTAGTAGAGATGGGGTTTCTTCATATTGGTCAGGTTGATCTCGAACTCCCGACCTCAGGTGATCTGCCCACCTCAGCCTCCCAAAGTGCTGGGATTACAGGCGTGCGCCACCGCGCCCAGCCTGTTCGCTCACTTCTTAACATTTAGTAGATAACTTTTGAAATTGTCTAAACATTAAACTTGTCAGGGAAAAAAGGTGTCAGATACTTTATTCTCCAAATGTTCAGGTTCTTTCTGTAATCAGTACCTGAATGGAAGAACCCCCTTCTCTTTAGCCCTTCATCCTTTTCTGGGGGTTCTTTTATCTTGTTTTCTCCATTTGTACATCAAAAACACTGATATTTATGTCTGACTTATTTCCTTTTCACAGAGTCCAACTCAACTTTTGATGAGGACCACTTCTGTTGCCTAGAACGTTCTTTCCTCCTGGAAGCATCCTGATTGGACACTGAGTGCTGAGAGCATACTAACATCCAGTCAATCCCTTTGTTATGTCTAGACTATAACCAGTCCCCAAATTCAGTGGCACCTTCTATATAGATAATAGTTCAACTGCAGAAAGTTCAGGCATCTGACAGGGGTCAATCGTGACTCCCACACTTATTGGCTATGTGCCCTGATCAAGTCTCTCAGCCTCTAGGAGTCTTGAGTTCCTCACGCGTGGAATGACAATCATGGAATATGCATTCCATGGGGATGTGGTAGTGAAATCAGACAATGTCTAGAGAAAGACTTTCTTGTTTTGTCTTCATACTCACTGCATTCTTCTTTTTAAAATGTTTATCTCAGAATTAGCTTTTTGAAAAGTTTATCATGTCTCCAATCCACAACCTATTTAAAATAACAGATAAAA